AAAAATCTAAGGAAACAACAAAATTCCTCTTAAAACCTTATGTTGATCGAGAGGGTATTTTAAAAATTTCATTTCTAGATGCATTTTCTTCAAATTCGCATTTGAAAAAAAAAAAATCTTTATTTTGTTGTTTCTTTTTTTTTTTGCTTGCAACAATAAAGCAACCAAATTCTCCCCATACTAACTTTGCCTTCAAGGTAAAACTGAAGCGTCTCTGCAGAAAGTATTTAGGACTCAGGTTACTTCAGCTCTGCCGCCTCATCCTGATCAATAAGAGGAGATCATATCACAATTTCAGGGAATTCAGAACCAATGGACGGGTGCACCATTTTAATCAGAGCTCAGAGGTGTGTGTGCATGAAGCTGGTGGAGGCAGGGGGATGGGGGGGGGCTGTTTGTTTGTGTGTGGAGTGAAAGAGAGGTTGGTAATGGTGAGAACAAGCTCTGAACACAGCTGCCGCTTCAGCTCACTGGTACAAGAGGTGTGAAATAGGAGAAAATGAAGGAGCAGGGTGGGTTTAGCAGCAGAGAGAAAGTCTGGAAGGTTGACAGATTTACAAATTATAAATTCCTGTTATGTAAAATGTAAATTTCCCAAGAAGCTCTTTCTAAAGTTTTGCCTGTTGACATTTATAAGATAAGAAGCATTGCACTCTTTGCCTCTGCTTCATGGTCATATCACCGGGACATTTGATTCTAGAGAATGGCTGCTAGAATCCCACCTAGATAACCAAACCTCAGTGATGGGAAAACATGATCACGTCACTGAAGTGACAGGAGAATGTGTTTTTGTTCCCTTAATGCTTATTTTCAACAGATGTAGCAAATCTGGACCAGAAGCTGCTGGTAGTTTTCACCTTTGTCTGGAGGAAGAGAAGCAGGAGGAGGAGGAGGAGGAGGAGGAGGAGGAGGAGGAGGAGGAGGAGGAGGAGGAGGAGGAGGAGGAGGAGGAGGAGGAGGAGGAGGAGCAGGAGGAGGAGGAGGAGCAGGAGGAGGAGGAGGAGCAGGAGGAGGAGGAGCTGAACGGGTTCTTATGTGTGACGACAGCAGGTACAATTTTCCCACCAGAAAGGAGATTATACCTGCAGTTTGGTTTCTTCTTCATCGCTTTATTTCAAATCTGACATTTTTTTTAAACACTGTTAAAACATTTTTTTTAAGTAGTCCAACTAAAAATATTCCAAAATACCAAAGATCTCATCTTTCACCAACAAATCAGCTTTTTTCCTCCAGCTCCATTGATCGTGGCTGAACAACAGCTTCACTTTCACACATTTGAAGGAACTGTTTATATTATTTCCATGTTTGCGGCTTTTAATGCAAAGATTGCTCTGGCTCTGAGTTCCTATTTTATGTACAACCAGAGTTCGGCGGTACACATTATTTTGTATAAAGAATGTGGTTTAGTGCCTTTCTTTTCATGTTTCTTTAGCAGTAACACTATGAAGCAAACACCTCCTGATTCCTTCCCTGGAAGCTCTGTGTCTCATCTGCTGGTGGGCACCAGGCAACCAGCTAACTTACAGTCGTATCAAACACTTTGCTATGCTCCCTGGGTAACTTGGTAACTTCCTTTCTTTGTGTCCAACATGGGGAATCATCAAGATATTCAACACACAGAGCCTGAACTGGCAGCTGCCGGCCTTTGGGGATTCCTTCAGAGAAATGAGAGAAGAAGGAGCCAGAACCTCAGATCAGGAAGGCATATTTATTCTGGGAAGTTCACCAACCTTGTAGGATCTATCCCTGCTATTGCTAGCTGGGTGGGGCTGGAAACCATTTATTGGATCAATCCGGATGAATCAATTCCTGAAATAATCATCCACTAATTTGGTAATCGAATCAGTAAAATGTTATCAGCAGACAGACTCTAAAATATGGAATTTCCTGAAAGTAAAAACAAGTTAGAGCTGTAATTAAGTGAAAACTCCACAGAAAACATGAACTTTTGTCCCAAACTTGAAGAGTTTTAGCCTAATATGGTTAATATTCTGTTAAATAAAAAAATAAAATCTCCTATTAATAATTTTTTGCTGTCTGAGTTTTTAATCCGTTCATCCTAAAAGTAATCATCAAGTAAGTCAGTTAGTAAAATAATCATTAGTTTACATTAATAAACATTATATATTATGCTACAAAAAACTGTAAGCATTGAATTTTTGTATTTCTGTCATTTAAAATTGACTTAAAGTGTACAGTAAAGGTTTTGTTGTTTGTTTAAATAAGTTTAAACAAACTTAAATGAAATTAATCAGTTGCAAAACTAATTGATAGCTGCAGCCTTAAAGTTGAAAATGTTGGTTCTGAACCTTTACTTCCTTCTCTGCTTTAGTTCTACAGAACCTCCAACTTTTAATGAAGTTTAGGAATGAGAACAATAGGCTCTAAAATCCATTTATATAAAATACTTAAAGACACTAAACTTTGACTAAATTGCAATAGTTTATTTAAGCAGCACTTCTCCTTTGACCTTCAAGCCATATTGTGTAAACTAGAAGCAAAGTGAGCAAGTTTATCTTTTTATTACAGTGTCATAGTTTTGGTGCATGTGCTTCTTATAACATGTTCAATCTCCAGACCAATATTTCCTCGGTTATTAGATAGTTTTTATATCCATATAAATGATTTAGCTGTGTATTAACGTAGGGATCAGTGGCACAGTTCTGTTGATTGTAGATCAGCCTCATTCTTTACTCTGTGTGTGGGTGTTAAATTCCTGTCCTAATTGGTATATCTACTTGTTTACTCCTGGCCTAAAAACAACAGCAGGCTGCCAAATGAAGATAAAACACACAAGATGACCTGCTTACCACTTAGCTTGAGCTCTACGTCCTCACTTATCATGATGCGGGACAGGAAATAGAGACGGTCAGCAGTTCGCTGCATGCTTTTTTTATTTGTTTTTTTTAAGCAATTGCACTTCCCTTTAAGATTGTCTACAGCATTTGCCTCAGTAAATGTAAGGTGAGGCTAAGCATAGCTCTAATCTCATACAACGCTACTGATAACTATCTAGTACATTTAGTAGAGTGGGATCTGTCCTTAAAATTACAAATAATTGGTTCTGATGATTACGTAAAGTTAATAGATCTCCTGTGAACTATATTTTAAAAAAAATCTTGCTTGAATAATTAACATTAAATGAACATTTTGTTAAAACTATTAATCATATTCCTAGATCCACTTTTTCTGTTTTCTTTTTCACCTTGATCAAGACTCCTTGCTTTAAGAAATGTGGGCCTTACTGGCTAAATAAGACTTTCTGATTGTAACCACAGGAACTAATGCTGCCACTAACTCCATTTTTTCCCATGTTAGAAAATTCTGCTGGAGCGTTGCTTCCCCCATTCCTCCCCTCATGCTGAGCTGGGTTCTGCTGAAGGTTTATTACTGTTAAAGAGAAGTTTTTCCACTTTATTGTTACCACATGCATACTCATGGGTAGAGGCCACAGCCAAAAGAACATGATGGAAATGTCAGCAGCACTTTAGATCTTCTTAAAAACTGACAAGATGAACCAATTTTCCTCAAAACAAATTTTATCTCAGAAATGTATGTAAATATGTTAGAATCATTCTATTATTATTACTTTTTTTCCTTTCAATGCATTGGTTATTATCATAAGAACAAAAAGGCTTTAAAAGCAAAGTAAAGGTTACATAAAGTAACATTAATACTCCTGAATACTATGATGTTCTCGACGCCAAAAACTATGACAGACATTTTAGTTTAAAAAAAAAAAGGTGTTGTTGTCTTTTTTAATTTTTTTATTTATTCAGATCAATATTTCACAGATTGGGTATTTTCAAAATTTGCTTTTTCATTTTTTTTTCAAATAGATTTTCATTTTGTTTTCCTAAATTAATTTTTTTTCACATTGCATTTCACAAATTACAATCTCTCCTCTTGACATGTGCATTAACCAATAAAAAATGTTGCTAATGTCCAGCTGACCAATAGAAAGGCGTTTTAAATCAGAGGAAAGTCCACCCCCAGACGTGAAGAGAATGTAATCTGTAAAATGCAATTTGAGAAAAATGCATTTTGTAAAACTCAATCTAAAAAAAAGAAATTAAAAGAATAAATACACTTAAATGGATCAACAAGATGTTCATATCTGCATTGCATTTTTTTCAAATTTCCATTTACGAACATTTTTTCTCAGCTTTCAATAATAATGGAACAAAATGCCCTCCATAAGCGCAGTTTTGGTGCAAATGCTCTGAAATCTGATAACATGACAAGCACTGTATCCAAGCAAGCATTAGTGAATGTTTCACACGTCAATATCCACTTTATTGTGCAACGTGACCTTAAATCAGAAAAACTTCCTGGCCATCCAAGAAAGCAATGAGAACCCCATCATTATCCAGTCATTTCTACCTTATCCGTGACGCAACCTTTCTAAAAACAAGCCAAAACTCTCCATTAATGTACATATCAGATGATGACCCACTAGTTTACGGCAAATTTAGTAAATTTCTTGCGTCGCCTATAATATTTTTATTCTCGATTTACACCTAAAGGAGAAGAAGGTCAGTTTTCCTGACTTACTTCAGAATTTTTCATATAAAGCTCCTCCCTTCATGTGAGCCTGTGGTTCAGCTGAGCGCTGTCCAAGGTGCTGAACCAGATTCACTTTCCCCGCCTTGCTTCAATCCTCACTTAATAAAGACAATTTACTCATGGAAAACGCGAAATGGAGGAAAAATAAAATAGGCACCAATGTCACACCAAAGTGACGTATTCTAATTTGTTCATCAGGATTTTAATTAATGTTTATGTAAATAAAATAAAACCTTAACTTGGTCCCGAAAAGTGCCAGAACTTAGAAAGAAAGCTCAAGAAGCGCTTCTCGCTCTCCGCTGTGATAAACAAGCAGCTCCTTACGAACTTATCAAGCCCATATCCAGGAATACTACAAACTTTTATTGTTGTTGTTTTTGCATTTAAATTTGTCAAAATTCGTAAAGGAAAAAAAATGACAGAGTCAAACCTACCTGCTGGACCTTCTTCCTCTTTTCTTTACCTTGTTGCTCAGCTGTGAGTGTGAGTGTAAACCGGATGAAAATGTCTGTCCGCTCCAAAGCTCGGTTTAAAGGACTAACCTCGGTGGAACCACACCATCCTCCACCCCCTGCCCTCCCCTACCAGCGCGCTACGCCTGGCGGATTTATACAGGCGAACTTCCGGTTTGGCTTTTACAAAATAATATGGCAGACAGAAGGTATTGAAAGGTGCTAATTTACCGTGAATTTATAAAACTGTATCTCACATAGCTCTGCAAAGATTACTTTCCAAATGAAAGGAGGATGTAACGATTATAAATCACTGGAAAAAGATACTTAATCAGTGGAGCAGCACAGACACCAATGCTGAAGTCTTTATGGAAGAGTGGCAATAAAAAAAAGAGAATATATATATATATATATATATATATATATATATATATATATATATATATATATATATATATATATATATATATATATATATATATATATATATATATATAACAATAATCAATCAATTAAACATAAGTTTTGTCTGGGAGCTGCACGGCGGAGGATGTTTTTTTTTTTTTTTAGCACTGTTGCCTTGCAGCAAGAAGGTTCCTGGTACGATTCCCAGCCCAGGGTCTCTCTGCATGGAGTTTTCATGTTCTCCCTGTACATGCATGAGTTCTCTCCAGGTACTCCAGTTCCTCCCATAGTCCAAAAACATGACTGTTAAGGTTAATTGGATTCTCCAAATATTCATTATGTGTGAGCTTTGATGGTTATTTTTATGCCCCCATAACTGAAGAGAATGGGAAATGAAAAATTCAATTTGAAAATAATGCAATTTATAAAACTGATTATAAAAATGAGAAATGTAAAAAAAGATAGATCACATTTGAATAAATGAATTCTGTAAAAACAAACAATAAAACTAATCTAAGAAAACACTAACGATGTTACTTTTAAAACATTATTTTGTTTATATTAATATTTAATTCAATTCAATTTATTTATATAGCGCCAATTCACAACACATATCATCTCAATGCACTTTCCAGTTCATAAAATCATCCAGTCAAATTGATTCAAAGTTTTCTATCTAAGGAAAACCAGTTGATTGCATCGACTCATTGACTCGGATGCAATCCCTCACACTAAGCATGCTTGTAGTATTCTACAAAGTATCTTTGCTTCCAACAACATTGGAACAAGTTATTTCTAGAGTTCTCCACTATTGGGGAAATAAAATTATACAAAAGATTAACTTTTTGTAGAAAATTTCAAGAAGACCGGAAACTAAAGAAGGAATAAGTGGCAACATTATTTTCCAACAGGACAATAGTCTCTACATAGAGCCAGTGCTATAGTGGAAATGTTCTAATCAAAGCGTGTTTATGTTTCAGAATGACCCAGTCAAAGTCTAGACCCAAATCTATCTGGGCCTCTGTATTAAGATCTACATATTTACAGTGGCTCTTTGTCCAATCTAGGAAAACACTGGTAATAAAACTGCAAAACAATGGCTGATCTGGTTGATCCAAAGGGTGTTTTAAAAGGGGCATTGAAAGGAGCTGAAAGCAAAGGGAAGCCAAACTTTTCAGACTTTTAGTAACAGGAAAATATCACACTATAGTTAGGAAGACATCGTTACACCCTTTTCTTTCACTTCACAGCTTTTTTTTTTTTTTTTGCTGTAAAATATGATAAGCATGTAGAATAGCAGAAATAATTTTACCAAACATTTCAAAACCCACCAAATTAATAGGATGTTCTTATTTGTGATACAAATAGAGAAAATCGATGTACTGCAGAAAAATAAAGCAAAATTAAAAAAAAAAAATTATTTATTTATGTAGTACAATAAAGTTTTTGTTTTGTGTTTCGTTTTTCTCTAACTCTAATTTATACAGGAAAAAAAACTTTTAAAAAGCAAGAAATTCTGTTTTCCCTTGCAGACTTTTAACCTGAAAGTCCAGCCACCTAATTTCCTGTCTCCCTGAGTTGTGTTTGCCCTCAAAATGGCCGCGCCCTCTGACGTCAGAGGCAGCGGATAAAAGGTAGGGCAGCTGAGCCCTTTTCAAAGCCATGTTGGCTTTTTGCCTCTTGACACAGCTTCTCCCCCATCATTTATAAAAATAAATTATTTATCCACCTAAATCTGACACGTTACCAGCTGGATTAAGGGAGGATTACAGAGAAAAATGAAACTTTTCAGCAAAAAAATATGGTCAATGCAAACAAGGAACCATCAAACAGCTTTTTTACATTCAGAGTCAGTGTTGAAATGACATGTGGCTGCAATGTTCTATCCAGCAGTTTGTCTAAACAAGCGTCTCAAACCTTTAACCTGCTTTTATTTGCATGAACTCAGACTTTAGATATCCTCCCTCCAGCATCAGTTTTCTCTCCCTGTAAACAGAAAGTGACTATTTCAAAGGGAAAAGTCGTTTCACCATATTTTGCCATCTGGCCTTTTCCTTCCCTCTCAGAACATCACAGTGCATTATTTTACTCAGCACACGAGCTGCTAAAGCGTTTAAACACCATAATGTCCAGAGGAAGAAGAAGCGAGGTGATGAAATGCAGACAATCCAATCTTCTCCCTGCATCTCTGTTTGTTGGTATGTGGAAGCCTGCTGATTTTAACACTGCTGTCTGCATAAATGTGAACCTGGACGGTCCTCCCTGTCCTTTAGAGATTTCTCTCTGGTGTGCGCTGCCGTTTGCCCCTGGAGTCCTTGACTTCATATAAACAGATTCATGAATATTAAATAGCAGACACAGAAGGACAAGCTTTGGAAGAGCTAGAGATGGATTTTTCTGGGCTTCCAGCAGCCTCCACATGAGAACAAGATTGGATTCCATAATCACTTCTTTAATAGCACATGAGGTGATATTTTGTGGAATAAAAAATGCCTCCAGATTTGAATTGTTGCTTCAGATTGTGACCTAGTTTTTAAGGGCTGAACATTTAAATGTTTATAAACCTGAGTCTACTGGCTTTTGTGGCTGTAAAGTTATTTATGACGTAAAATATCTGATCACTAATCTCTGTTAGTCCACTCTGGATGTCACTGAAGATCTTAGATAGTTCTTTATAAACGTGAGCTTGGAAAAGTTGTGGATGCAGCAGGATATCTGCACATCTATCCAAAGATTTGGTTTCACCTCACAGATCTTATTCGGAGAGGGGGAGAGAAGAAGTTCAGATGAGTCCTGGAAGGTTTTCCATCCTGCATCCACCAATCTGCAGCTGTTCTCCAAAGACTGTCTCTGAAAAGTTTACACTGGTCTTCTGTGCATCAAGCTGACCCTTTTATTTGTTCTGTTATAATTTTTTTCTTGGTTTGCATAGATCAGTAGTGAGTTCTAAATAATCAAATCTATGATATTTAAGAATAGAAGTGCTGGTGTTTGTGTGTTTTTGTTACTATAATCCCAGAGAAATACTTATATAGAGAGTAAATATGCATGTACTGTATATTTTTACCTGCTTTTTGGGGGCCCTAGTTTCTCTGTGGGTCTAAACAGCTGCTTAGTTTGCTTCTGCTTCGTGTCGTTTATGAACTTTAGAGGATGCTGGACTTCATAGAGTTTTCTTTTGAGTTTTTTTTTTTCTTTTTGTAAAAGTATTTTTCTTCCCTGTGAACATTTTGTGGAACAACTTCAATCCAGCTTGAGTAATTCGTCTGAATCTCTGCCTAAAGCCAGAAAATAATCACTTTCCACACTGCTTCGACTTGGAGTCTGAAGACCGTAGGGATCTTGTTTAAATCTCTCAAAAGCCAGTTTTTACCAGTGCTGATCACTGCTACAGAGATTTTGTTCTATTGGGCTGTAATAATTCAAATAAATATGAAAAGTAGACATCATATTTGATAATTCCAAGACGTTTAGGCTCGATACAAAACCGTAAAGTGTGAGGTCTTTACACTTTAACTTTATTTAAATTTGCATTATTTTTAATGAATGAAATGTTAAAACTAAAAAACAGTTATATTTAATGTTTTGGTCTTATAGTAACAATTTTTCTACATCTCTTTGGACTTTTTTACAATTTAAAGCTCAACCTGATGACGTTTTCCCTAAAACATAAGATACATTTATTGGTCAGAAGAAAACAAAAAACCTGTATGGATATATTTAACAAAGTGTGGATATTTGGTATTTTTATTTAATGTCCCATTAAATAATAAAAAAAAACATTTATCATTAATCAGGTAATTAAATGTCATAAAAAATGTAACTTATTAAAAAATTGATTCGGTTTTTATTTCTAATAAATAGATATATCAAGGGAAGTAATTAGATATGTATATATTTTTTTCTTTTTCATTTTATAGGGGTATGTACTGAGACTGAAAGGTTTCAGTGCATAACCCTAAGCCTCCTGACTTTTGTGGCTTAAATACCCAGAGGTACAGTTTGAAATCAGAGACCAAAAACTGCTGAGTCAGCGCATCTCTGCATCAACAATAAAGTTATACAGCAGCACTTTTCATTGAGTGGTTGGATTTAAAGGTCAGAGAGTTCGTCACTCAAAAAGTAGGAAAGTTATTGTAAAAGATCGAGAAAAGTCAGTTGATCTTTTAGTAACACACACACACACACCATCTTCCATGTCACGACCTCTGCCCTCATAAGATCCAGTTAGTTAGTTTCTGTCCCTGAAAGATCGGTGTTGTCTTCTTGAAGTTAACGGCCCCTTTAAAAATAAAACCCATTAACAGGGTTCCCTACCAAGTGATGAGCTCCATCAATCTCCCTTAATTATCATTGATTATATGAAGACTAATTGGTGACCTTGGATCCTGGAGGCGTTCATGCAAAGCCCGGTGGAAACACTGAACACTAATGCATTCTCAAAAGAAAAACTCACATTTATTGCATCTCTGACAAATAGGACAAAAGTTATGGTCATCAACTATGGCAGTGTTTTTCAATCCTGGTCCTCAAGGCACCCTGCTCTGCATGTTTTGGATGTTTCTGAGGTTCAGCACACCTGATTCAGATGATTGCAGTTCAGCAAAGCCTGATAATCTGCTATCAATTGATAACAGGTGTATGAAAGCTGGGAAACATCTAAAACATGCAGAGCAGGGTGCCTTGAGGACCAGGTTTGAAAAACACTGAACTATGGAGTGATTTTTCTGTCAAAACGTTGTGCACAAAAATGCATGTTGCAAACGCATAAAGCATGTTTCACACAAACAAATCTTATCACTCACAAATAAACATGTTGCACTCAAATGAATCTTATTGTTAACAAATTAAGCATCTATACAGATGATACTTTGATTTGCAAAATACATCAGTTAATCTCCTGTTCACAAAGAAAAACAGAAACAAAAAAAACCCAAAATGCAGTGAAATTATCACGATATGAACACATATACATACATACATATGTGTGTGTGTATATATATATATATATATATATATATATATATATATATATATATATATAGCTTTTAATTACCTGTCAAATTAAATGAGGTTTATAAAATCAAAGATTGCACCTATACTTAAATGGTTAATTTAGTTATGAAGCTAATTAGTGGCGTTAGGCATCTAGGGTATCACATTAATTTAATCTCAGTATGCCTCTATTTTTTTTATGATGCTATTTTCACTCAAGCAAGATACTTTATATGGACTTTTTCCATGTTTAACCTAGGGATACTATTAGTTACAGCTTTTTTAAAAAATACCTGTTTACTCTTATGGCTGCAGTTTTAATTTTAACAGGAGGCTTATAACAAAATAAAGCTGCCCTGCGATGTTGATATTTTAGCCATATTAATATTACAATATTTCCGTTTAAGTTATTTTAATCAGTGTTTTAAATCATATGTCTGCAGTGAGGAACAGGTTTCCCAAAAGTCCATGTTTAAGTGCCGCTATGATGAGAGGCCGGTTCAGTCACCTTAGATCGAAGCAGTTAGTGAATAAGCGCTAAAATATCCTACTCCGCAACGGTCTCCATTCCTGTCACTATCACATAGACAGGAAGTGATGTCAGCCCTGCAGGTCGAAGGTCCGGAGGCAGCGACTGGAGCAGCAGTAGGCCACAAAACTCACCGTCGTTCTGCAGAGGAAGGAGCAGAAAAGTCACAGAGAAGTAAGAAAAAACAACAACATAAAGGGAGAAGAAAAGGGAGGAGGAGGTTTGCTCTGACCGGCGGTGGACTCCTGCTAGCACTGTGTCGCGGAGGGGGAACACTTTGGGATAGATGATGGTGAACATGGCTTGGCTGCAGCGGTGGCAGTGGCCCAGAGGGAACTGTAGCAGGTCAAGCAGGCTCTTTGGGAGGATGAAGGGAGGCAGCAAATGAAGGCCTGAGGGTTCCACACCAGAGGAAGCAAAATGAGTTACAATTACTCTAAGGACTTATTCTGGTTTTATTTACCTCTAGCTGTGGAGTTTAAACTTTAAAAGTTTTATCTAAGAGACCTGAAGAAATGGAAGCAAAGAAAATCAAACTACAACCAACTAACTGAGGGATTGTATTTGAGTCAATGAGTCGATGCAATCAGCTGGTTTTCCTTAGATAGAAAACTTTGTATCAATTTGACTGCATGATCTGGTTGAACTGTAAAGTGCCTTGAGATGACATGTGTTGTGAATTTGGCGCTATAGAAATAAACTGAATTGAATTGAAAAATTAACTACCTAAATAAAAATAAAATAAAAACTAGATTATCTTAAATTCCAAACTATTGAAAGCTTAGCAATAAGCTCCTTTCCAATGGGCTGTACAGGAAACAGCAGCAGCTCAAAGAAGCCAAAGAAGGAGAAATTTAGGCGTCAAACTGAGAACAAAGCAGGTTTCCCCACCTGCTGGGCGCTGATGGTAGACGCCATGCATGGTCCTCATAGCAAGCTCCTCCAGAGGAACCACAGTATCGGCCTGTGAGCCAATCACCTTCACTTCAGCCGGAAGCCCAACCAACGCCTCGCTCAGCACCTCCCCCGTGCCCCCCTCCACGCCGCACCTGCACAGACACGACACACCCAACCCAGAAAAACAGCTCAGAAAAAAAAAATCTACCAACAAACATATATCATTACTAACCGACACATGAACAGCTGCTGTTTTTGTAAAGCAGAACATAAACTGAATCATTAAATCAGCTTCATCTAACAACTGAGCTTAAAGTGGAGCTAAAATACAGAGCTGACAGAGATTATACCAGATTTAGGGATGCACGATATTCAGATTTTGGCCGATATCCGATATTTTAAAACTTATGTAGCCGATAACCGATATCGATACCGATGTTAAAGCTGGACAAACATAAGTAGTCATTGAAAATAGCAGTTTTGTTATCCATTTCTGACACTTTGAAAAATAATATACTCAAATATATTTTCATATGCTGATATCAAATAGATTTTTAAAAACACGGTATCGATCTATTTTACTTTCAAAATCTGGTGAAATTTCATCGTTCTGTTACAAACTCTCGTGATATTTTGCAAATTCTTGTGAGATTTTGTTAGTAAAATAGATCGATACCGCGTCAATATATCAACATATAAAAATATGGCAAAATTTGGTGAATTTTCGGGGGATTTCGTAGCATAACGATGACATATAGCAATATTTCATTAGTAAAAGAGATTGATACGGTGTTTTTAAATGGCAATATATCAGCATATGAAGATATTGGGATATTTTAATGGATCAATATTTTTTCCCTCGTCTTTAGAAGTTTTTAAGTCTGTAAAAAAGAAGTTTTTGAGGAAGAAGTAGTATTTTATTTTATTTTCTAAACTCAGAAGCTGATCAAATATCGGGTTAAATATCGGTGGGGGGGCCGATGTCCGATATTCAGTTTTAAGGCCGATACCGATAGGGGCCGATTATTATTATATCGTGCATCCCTAACCAGATTTGTTCCTGATGTAAACACAAGATATTTGGAGATTTACAAGCTACTTGTGGTCTGTGAACCTCACTGACTGACTCAGTACCAAAATGCATCTTTATGCTCCGTTAGTGTTAATCAATCAAAGAAATTCACGAGCTGTTGTGGTTTTTACTCAGTTTTAGAAAAACCAGCATGTTTAACTTATCGCTCCACAAGTCAGTTTTTCTTCAAATAAGTGCAATTTTTCTGGGATTGAGCAGGTAAGTGAGACGCTTTGCCAGTCGAATACTAAAATAAGAAATAAATGATCTGATCATCTTATTTTAAGATTCCGTTGGGAATTGACCTGCTCAGATTTAGAGCAAACACACTCGTGTCTAGATTGTTTTTGCAGTGAGAAGCTAAGGGGTCAGCAAAGCCAGAGACACGCTACGACTGTGGGAACCTTTTCTACCAAGGATGCATTTTTTTTTTTTATCCAACAAATTTAGCAGTTTTTATTTATTTTTTAAATGTTTTATTCCATAGTTGCTCCCTGAGGAAGGAAGAACGCAACATGAAAGAAAACTACTGATTTCACAAGCAGGAATCATTTTCTGAGAAAGGGACCAAACTAGAGGAGGAGGAATTCACAGAGTCCTTACAGGGATCGCTGGACTCCTTCATCAGACCGATCAGAGATGCTCTGGCTGAATAGTTTCTGCATATTTTCGATATTAATCTGGTGAGTTTGTTTCATACTGACAGCAGTCAATATGTTGCGTACAGTTTTAATGATAATTCTAATCTTCTAAGCAGACACAGCGATACATCGGCTGATTTATTTCTTTTTTTTGTATCAGCATCAATTAATCAGTGCATTCAGCAGCCATGCATTAAGATCACAAGCAATATTTATTGTTGTCATTTTTATCATATAAAAGGAGGAAGAAAATAAATATCACCTCTAAGATTTAAATATATCTGCATTTGTTAAAACAATCAGTATCTGAATCGATCTGTCTCCAGCTCTGAGCTACTTGTTTAGGAGATGTAAAGATGTTCTGCTGATCTTTTCCCATTTAGCAACTTTTATGAGCTTCAGCCATGTTTCTTTTGTTTGTCTCCACTCCTTTCTCTTCAATCTTTCCCCCACGTTCATATCCTCCCTTCATGTGCAACCTATCAGTGACCCAAAGAGACGTTGCTGTGATTCGCTGGTTCGCCGCGGCGACGCAAAGACAGTAGTGATGCTGCATTTTATTGGACAGGAAAAAAACAAACACTCATTGCTTGGGAATCCTTCTGAACCTGCTCACCTCATCCCTGCCTCAAAGGTGCTGGCAGCTCATCTGTTCACCTTCCAGTGAAGGCTGTGGCGTTCTAGTTTTTGCATTCTCATGTATATTAAGTGCAAATAGGAGGTAAATGTTTTTTAAAACTGGTGTCTACGCCCCGTTATGATGTTTAAAAGTTAGCATATCCGCCTGATTTCAATGTCATTCTGAGAACTTTCAGTGTAACCGGCGTCGGTGTTGAAACACTAACACTCAGCTGTTTACTTCTACTAGACTTAAATACATATCAGTGGGATAATTTGTTCAGTATTACAAACAAGCAACGAGTTTGTGCTGATAATCGTGGGCCATATTTGCATGTTACAAATCGAGCTTGTGTAGAAAATTCAGGCCGTGCAGAGGGGCGTGGATGCTAACTACATCTATACACATCCATATCAGAGAGGAGAGCTTCACTCGTTTCAGGCTGGCAGAAGGCATAGAAGAGAAAACTTGATTTCTCCAGGAGGAACTTTGATTTGTCGGCTGATCGCTGCTGAATAAAGTTAGATAGATAGAAAATGATTTAGTTTACGTTCGTTGGAAACAACTAGAAAGTGTCTGGGTTAGGAAAGTTACCCGTAGGGCTGAAACAATTAATCAGATCAAACATGATTTATCGATTATTGAAATAATTGTCACCTCATGTAGTAATCAATTAATCCTTAACAATACTCTAAAACATGCCTTTAGCTGACAGATCGACCCACTTAGAGGAGTAATTATAGCAAAATTGTAAAAAAAAAAAAACAATATGTAAACATTTTGCAATTAGAATAAAAAAGCTTGTATTAGTGTGCTTTATCCAGAACTCTCAAAGTGGAAAAGATTAAGTTTAACCTGGTTCAATTTTGCAAAAAATCTTTTAACGCACCGTTTGCTATTTGATTCGATAAAATAATCATTGATTGATTTGAAAAACAATAGTTAGCTGCAGCCCTAGTTACCCGCTGCAGCCGATGACCTTGTTGTACAAGTAGGAGGGGAGGCCCTTCAGGTCCACGTTGTTATCCACAAACACAAACTGCAGCTCTCTGGATCGGCCCAGATCTAAAAGAGGAAGATGGTTAAAGATGTCCTAAACTCTGCTGCCCATCAGAGAGTTCAGCGCACTGACCGAGTGGGAGGAAGGTCAGGCGGTTGGCCGCCATGGAGAGCTGGTTAAGGCGGTGCAGCCAGCAGAGCTGCCGGGGGACGTGGCTAAGAAGGTTGTGGTCCACTGTGAGGTTCTGCAGGGAGAGGCAGCGATGCAGGCGGTCCGGCAAGGAAACCAGTTGGTTCACCGCCAAGTCCAGGGTCTCCAGGTCCTCCAGGTCACCGATTTCTGCTTGAGGAAAACTTGAATGAGTCTTTCAAGTGCAAAATTCAAACATTCACAAACTTAAATAAATGAAAATTGTTACAACCAATGAAAACTCAATCCTCAGAGCAAATTCCATTTTTTTTTAAGTGATAATGTGACAGGTAACAATTCCTGCTGAACACAAACATTATGGCAAAACAGGAGCTTATGAGATTAAGATTTTAGCTAAAGAACCCTGATGCCACCTGCTGGCCAAGAAAAGCTCTGAGATGGCGTTTCAGCACAGATGAGGCAAAATGCATGAATATACCTGGATATACTGTATATATATCGTTTATTCTTAATGCACCTTTTTCCTCCTTGTTTGCACCTTCTTTAATTACTATGCCAATATGTGACCAGTGAATTTCTCTGCTGTGAGATCAATAAACCTCATGTAATCTAATCTAATCTGAACAATCCAATAAGGAGGTTCCCTGAGATTTTCATCCAAGTTACAGTAAAAAACTTTGTAAAGGGAGTTCTGGGCAGGCTGGTTTCACCTGGAGGAAGGCATTTCAGTTGATTATTGGACAGTCTGAGGAGTCGCAGCGACCTCAGCCGGCCGATTTCTGGACAGAGCATCTGGAGCGCATTGCTGCTGAGGTCCAACGACTGCAGCCGCGCCAGGTTTCCAATGGCTGGAAATCAAAACACTTTCTATATCCAACCTCTGTGAAACCCTTGGACACATGTTTGGACTGTTACGGCCCTACCTTCAGGAATAATGACGATGTTGTTTGAATGGAGGTACCTGGAATTGAAAGGATAGAAAGTCAACGAAACAGAAAACTGCATCGAAACAAAAATGGCAGAGCTTCTTAGAAGACCACTTACAGTTCAATGAGATTTGGGAGCTTCTGAGCGAGATTATCAGGCTGATGAAAACAAGGAAGAGGCAGAAATCAGATGTAATCTCACAGGAAGTCAACATAATTTTTTCATTTTAATCCCAAATGGTTGCGCTCTGTGAGGATACCAGTGTGGTGAGCGAGTTTCTCTTCATGTACAATCTCTCCAGAAAATGCAGTCCTTCATCTTTTAGCAGCTCTACGGGGAAAATGTTCAAATTCTTGTAGTTCAGGAACAGGTTTTTGTGGCGCTCCTGCTTGGCCATGAATATGGTCTCATGAAGTTCAGTGGCCATTTTTAAAGGGAAGCTCTCCCCTCCTGGGCGGGGGACGCTGTGTTCGGCTACGGCATCACTGTCCCCTGAAAACAGTTTAATAAGTCACCTCATTAGAAGGCTCTCATTTACTTAAACCTTAAAAATATCAAATGAACCATCATTTCAATGAATACAGCTTGTAGTGAATAAAAACTCAGATTCACTTTATGGGAAAATTACAAAATTATGTCAAAGCAGCAAAATAATTAGTTCATTTTCATTTTTTTGTATTCATCCAAAGTTTGAGTTCATCAACTACACCAATATATTGTGAGTAAATATCTAAACGATGTTAATGTTTTCATTACATTTATTTTAAATAAACAGTCATTTAAAACTAAATGTGAATAAATCCAGATTTTTACACCTAAACGACAAACTCCGGAAAACGTAGTTTTCTGTCACGCTGTTGGCTGTTTTCAATACTTCCTCATCCTTTCAGCATCATCATGAAAAAAAGGACCTTAATTTTGTATCATGTGAGAAAAACTTTCAAAGCTGAAATTATAGGAGCCGAAACAGGATTTAGGAACGGCTGTTCATTAGAGAAGCACCTATAGTTGAATGTGTTTGTCGATTCATTTGTGCATTCAGCAGGAATACCTCTGTTTGCTCTCCATTGTTAATGTTTTGGTGGATTTATTATAAAGTTTATTATAGGTTTAAATTGAGTCTTGTGTTATTTTTATTATAGATAAAAAATAAAAACATGCAGCAAATATTTGGGATCGGTTAAATAAAACTATCATTTATCTCTTTTGTTGGCGCTTTGATCGTGTCTCGTTTGGACCACAGTAACAGTCGTTTTGTCTCCGTACGGTTCAAGATGCAGCAGAAAGACTTCTACAAAAGACCAAAGGAAGAGATCACTTCTGTTTTGGATCCAAGCAGCATAAATAATAAAACGTTGATCTTGACCTTCATGGATCTACATGGAGCAGATCAACAGTATTTGATGGCCTGATGGCTGATCAATAGGGGCGGGTATTTAGCAAATATCATGATAAGTTTCTGGTCATGATAGGAATTTTAATTTAATGTCAAAGTGATAAATCTCCTTTTAATTTCATTTTTCTCTATTAAGGCATAGATAAATCTGAAGAATGAGGTTACTATTAGACCTTAAGCGATATAAATCATAGTTCGGACTCATTTTAAAACTAGAGATGGGGCTCTGGCTGTCCTTTCTCACTGTGCTCTCGCTGCATGATCTCCATTGATGGTTTTAGAAAACAACAAAAGACATTTTTAATATAAGCAGGCTTGTAAGTAGAATTTACATGTAGCTTTAGTTGGACTGTGAACACTTTGTGATTCTGTTATGTGTGAAAAGTGTTATCAAAATACGCCTTACTTACTAAAATCAATTAAATAAAGCAAAAAAAAAATAAAAAATCACCATCAGATCAGTAAAGATAAAAAGAGGAAGAACCGATCTGATAACCAGGGGACGACTAAAGGGTCCAACAAAGCAGCAAATCATTACCTGATCTAAACAGTCAGTCGTCAATCAGAGGATTGAACTGCTAATCTTTCAGTCTTCGACTCTTAATTAAACAACAATGAGAAGATGAAGCTCCAGGCTGATATATTCACTCCAGCAGGACTTTCAGCGACTCAGCTGAAAGGTCACACATCAGGTCAAATATCAGAAACTGTCAGATTCACAAGACTGGGAAATCTGCAGACAAGTGGTGATGGAAAGGTGAAAACTGCACACAAGTAAAAAAGTTACATCATAATGGTGATCTAAATGAGTGGCGGTGTTTTCTTTTTGCATGTCTGTTTGACTGAGAGATGGAGCGATGAAGCAGGAGATTCAATAATACCTGCTGGATATGGCTGCTGTTTACTTTTTTACCAACGGCACGTAGCCAGTTTGCTAATTCCTTCCTATCAGAACTTCTTGTTAAATAACAAAAAAAAATTTACCTTAGAAATGTGAAAGCATTGTGAGGCACTACAACCGTCCAACGTTTCCTCATCATCGTCCTAAATGCGTTTACGAGCTGGAAAGAGCCAACCACCCGAACAAGAGGCTGCTGGTTAGCAACAACCATCAGCCGTAAACATCATGACGTCACCGCGTTTTCTTCTCTTTTACGTTTCGTGGTAGAGATGGCGCCGCGGCTGCTCTGCTTCCCCCTCCTGGTAAACAACGGAACTGCACAAAATAGAGCCGTTTACAGTGCTTTGCCAAAAAAAAAGGAAAACCTATGAAACTTTATTCTGCTGGGATTTTTTCTATAAGCTAAGATCAGTATCAAAATAAACGTGTGCATAAAAGCACAGTTGTGTACATATTAGTCAGAAGTTGTGCATAACAAACATTTGTAAACTCATAAAATTTGAAATCTTATGCAAAACATTAATCATATAGTTTAGTTACAACTTCCATAACTAATGAATACAAATTTCACGTTTAAATTTGTTATTTATTCTTCAGGAACACAAACTTCAGCGGCTCTTTGAGAATACAGATTTTTTCTTTGAGAATACAAATTCACAACAGTGGTATGACATCACGGTTTCTTAGATCGGAAGAGCTTTATTGATCTCACAGCGGAGAAATTCACTTGTGACATATTGGCATAGAAGTCAAAGAAGGTGCAAACAAGGAGGAAAAAGGTGCATTAAGAATAAACAATAAACAATATATATACAGTATATCCAGGTATATACAGTATATCAAGATAAATAAGGATTAAGGTGCAACTGTACATGTATCGCACACAATGAAAAACAAAATCAAAATAAGAAATAAAGAAATAAAAAATAAAAAATTAAAATATGTGCAATCCAGATTGATTATATACAGGTGGATTTACTTTTACGTTAAAGTGTAGTAGGTAGGGAGCAATGGTGAGGTAGTGGTATGACTAATATATTCACATATATTGCACAGTCAGCATGTTGCACAGAATATTGCACAGCCAGTAAATAAAAAAACTATAATATAGCTGCACAGTGGTTTCTACAGGAGTTATTTTGGTTATAGTGCATTATTATAGAGTCTGGTGGCAGCAGGTTCTTACAAACTCCCTTGTGGTGCAAGACGGCTTGTGATAGATAAGGAGGTTTGGGTCTAAAGCAAGATTCCGGCTTTTGTTAAGGTGTGCCTTGCAAAGGAAGATTAAAGAGTGTGGACAGTGCGTCTCTAAAACAGCTGAGGTAACTGAAAGGTCTTCAGACGGCTCCTGAAGGCTAGAGAACGGAGGTAGTTTTCTGTGGTCTCTCTGGTTATATCCATTGATAAATAAAAGATCTCTGACTCCTGTTTAATTGTGTTTTCTTTTTCTCTGTCAATCAAATAACCGTTGGGAAGGTGATGTAGCAACAGAAAAAAAAAACAGTTATTTCAACTCAACACAGCCATACAACAAAGCATGTAATAATATAATACAAATATGAAATTATGAGTGAGGCTGACCAAAAACAAAACAAAAATGATATGAACTGTTTAGCTTTATTTCTTGTGGTGGTAATTTTGATTGGTTCTGGCTAGGTTGTTATGAAAATTATCAGATGAACTAGAACTAAATGTGGAGCTCTGCCTTATACAGGTGCTGGTCATAAAATTAGAATATCATGAAAAAGTAGATTGATTTCAGTAATTCCATTTAAAAAGTGAAACTTGTATATTATATTCATACATTACATACAAACTCATATATTTCAGATGTTTATTTTGTTTAATTTTGATGATTACAAATGACAACAAATGAAAATCTCAAATTCATCATATCAGAAAATTAGAATATTACTGAAGACCAATAAAAACAAAGGATTTATAGAAATGTTGGCCAACTGAAAAGTATGAACATGAAAAGTATGAGCATGTACAGCACTCAGTATTTAGTTGGGCCTCCTTTGGCCTGTATTACTGCAGCAATGCGGCGTGGCATGGAGTCGATCAGTCTGTGGCACTGCTCAGGTGTTATGATAGCCCAGGTTGCTCTAATAGTGGCTTTTAGCTCTTCTGAATTGTTGGGTCTGGTGTATTGCATCTTCTTCTTCACAATACCCCATAGATTTTCTATGGGGTTAAGGTCAGGAGAGTTTGCTGGCCAATTAAGAACAGGGATACCATGGTCCTTCAACCAGGTACTGGTAGCTTTGGCACTGTGTGCAGGTGCCAAGTCCTGTTGGAAAATGAAATCTGCATCTCCAAAAAGTTGGTCAGCTGCAGGAAGCATGAAGTGCTCTAAAACTTCCTGGTATGTGGCTGCGTTGACCCTGGACCTCAGAAAACACAATGGACCAACACCAGCAGATGACATGGCACCCCAAACCATCACTGACTGTGGAAACTTTACACTGGACTTCAAGCAACGTGGATGAAGTGCCTCTCTTCTTTTCCTCCAGACTCTGGGACCTTGATTTCCAAAGGAAATGCAAAATTTACTTTCATCAGAGAACATGACTTTGGACCACTCACCAGCAGTCCAGTCCTGTTTCTCTTTAGCCCAGGCAAGACGCTTCTGACGCTGTCTGTGGTTCAAGAGTGGCTTGACACAAGGAATGCGACAGCAGAAACCCATGTCTTTCATACGTCTGTGTGTGGTGGTTCTTGAAGCACTCACTCCAGCTGCAGTCCACTCTTTGTGAATCTCCCCCACATTTTTGAATGGGTTTTGTTTCACAATCCTCTCCAGGGTGCGGTTATCTCTCTTGCTTGTACACTTTTTTCGACCACATCTTTTCCTTCCCTTCGCCTCTCTATTAATGTGCTTGGACACTGAGCTCTGTGAACAGCCAGCCTCTTTAGCGATGACCTTTTGTGTCTTGCCCTCCTTGTGCAAGGTGTCGATGGTCGTCTTTTGGACAACTGTCAAGTCAGCAGTCTTCCCCATGATTGTGTAGCCTATAGAACTAGACTGAAAGACCATTTAAAGGCTTTTGCAGGTGGTTTGAGTTAATTAGCTGATTAGAGTGTGGCACCAGGGGCCATCAATTTTGAACCTTTTCACAATATTCTAATTTTCTGATATGATGAATTTGAGATTTTCATTTGTTGTCATTTGTAATCATCAAAATTAAACAAAATAAACATCTGAAATATATGAGTTTGTATGTAATGTATGAATATAATATACAAGTTTCACTTTTTAAATGGAATTACTGAAATCAATCTACTTTTTCATGATATTCTAATTTTATGACCAGCACCTGTAGTGTCCCCACCAACTTTCATTACAAAGTCACACCCTTAGATCAGCACCTCAATACATAACAGATTTGTTGTCGGTGTATCAACCTCTCAGACCACTCAGGTCCTCTAGTTCCAGAGTTCTGTACTAGGGAAGAGAAATAATGATTTATCTGCAAGGGTTGTGAAAGAAAAGAAAATATGGATCATGTTTTGATGAATTGCATTAAATATGAAACTGAAAGAGAGAGGATGAGAAAAGTAATTATGGAAAAAGGGAGAGAAGGGAGTATTAAATGAATTTCAGGGAAAGATGGAGATAGGGAGGAAAATTTGGTTATAAATAAAGCATTGTTTTTATTTTTACATTACACAAAAATAAAAAAATAAATGTATTAGGTTGAACTATAGAGCTACACACTCATGTACAGTAGGTGGCGGTATGCAGCTAAAAATTGTTTGCAATCCGCCAATCTAACAAAGAAGAAGATGATTACATGACGTCAGGCCGTCATCTTTCAGCGTTCGGCTTTTTCCGTGAGTCACGTGACGATTGGCGCCCTCATCGTGTCTGTCCGTCCACAGTCTCCCTTTTTACACGCAGGACGGTTAGCATCTGTCGTTCGGCACCATGTTCCGAGCCCTTTCCCGTGTATCAACCGCAGGATTCCGAAGCCTGGCTCGGACACGGACCGGTTATTCGGGTAGGACTGCCGCTTTACACTAATATCCCAATGGTATTTAAAAACTTTGGATACGGAAGCTCTGGCCGGTTAGCATGTAGCCGGGAGCTAACACGGGGTGACATTGAAGCATTTCTAAAGCAGGCGTCCCTGTCTCTTTTGTTTTAGCAATGTTGAGCTATTCCAGGGTTCGTGTTGTGGTTTAAATCTGCTACTGGTGAATAAAAATTAGTGAACAGGCCTCGCGACCTTGTAATGACCCCATGTTAGGTCAGAAGTGTTGGTGGCCTCTTAACACAGCTATAACCAACACTCATCTGGAAGAATATACTTGTCCCGTCGGGTATTTATCCGGTTTCCATTGATTTTATTCTGAATTCATCTTTCTGAACTTTTCCTTCTAGTGAAGTTCACTTCATCAGGTCAATATTTTTCATTTCACTTCCATTCAGTGTGTGTTCATATATGGTGATCCTTGAATGAAGGTGTGTAGGGAGTCTTAAAGGAAGTTCAACGTTATTGACTGATCGACTTAATTGACCTCACAGTTGAGAAATGTACTAGGTACATCAGCTCAAATGGTAAAAAAGACAAGAACACTGTACCAAAGCTAGAAAAAGGTGTATGGGATATTTACAATATTAACAGTGTGTCCAAATATGACAATTTTTTTTATATAGTGGGATTATCATACGTGGTTATTGCACATGGTGTTTACACGGTTACTTATATTCAATTCAATTCAGTTTATTTACATAGCGCCTAAGCAAAACCCGTAGATTGCATCGACTCATTGACTCCAATGCAATCCCTCACACTAAGCATGCTTGTAGCGACAGTGCAGAGGAAAAACACCCTTTTAACAGGAAGAAACCTCCTTCAGAACCAGGCTCTGTGTGAGCGGCCACCTGCCAAGGCCGACTGGGGTTCAAGAAGACAGAAGCAGACATAGAAAAAGAAGCATAGATACAAAAGGCAACTCTAAAACGCGGCCCGTCCAGGAAACGCACAGCCAGGCAGACGAGCTCTAAGCCAACTCCAATGTGAGAGGATGAAGAGAGCACATCCAGCCAGTCACAGTCAGAGAAACAGGACTACATTGGAAAACAGGCCAAGCTCCAACATCTAGAAACAAAGGTGTTGATGGCAGCAGCACAGCTGATATTTCTCTCATGGATGGAGTCACAGCCAAACAGGAACAGACCAGATGAAGCTACTATGAGAAAAAGCAGAGATAGTATGTACTAACATTAGAGATTGAACCAGCAGATTCTGCAGAGTTATTGCACTTGGGTGTCACATATAGAGGAACAGGTTATTGCACAGGGTATTAAATAGTAATTGCACATTAGATATTGCACAAGTTATTGCTTGTTGTAGTGTCGCATTGTCGAGTCTGGTTGCAGCAGGTATGAATGACATGCTGTAGCGCTCCTTTTTACAGACAGGGTGTAAAAGTCTTTCACTAAAGGAGGTGCACAGCTCCTCTACACTCTGATGCAGAGGGTGAAAGGTGTTCTCCATGATGAATGTAGGCGTATACAGCACCCTCCTCTCAGCCACTTCCTCCACTGAGTCCAGAGTGCAGACTAGGACAGAACTGGCCTTTCTCACCAGTTTGTTCAGTCTTTTTCTGTCCCGCTCTGCACTGCCAGGGGCCCAGCAGATGTCAGCTTAGAGGAGGGCCGATGCCACCACAGAGTCATAGTTTTTAAGTAGGGGCGTGCTCACTTCAAAAGACCTCAGCCTCCTCAGGAGGTGGAGGCGGCTCTGGCCGTTCTTGTACAGGGCGTCGGTGTTATGAGCTCAGTCCAGTTTATTATGTGAACACCCAGAATTTGAAACTCTCCGGTTGTAGTAGAAAAGGAGGAAAACCGAAACTAATCTTATGTTCCGTTCTAGTTTCAACCCTGACTAAAACTAAAAGGGTTAAAAACGGCAGCTAGACGACTGCTTCAGTTAATATTTTTCCTAAGAGGGGTTGATTGATCCTCTGAATTACTGTTAATTCTTTAAAAATAGCAGAAGTAGATTCGGTTGGTGTTTTTGGTCTCTGACTATGAATGCAATTTTTGCATTGGGATTAATATCCATAAAGATACAATAATGTTCTAAAGTGTTGTCAGTGTAATTCAGAGTTAATGGTTAACTACAGCTGCTAGTAGTGCTACCTCCAGTTTCATTGTGTTGAGAGAAGATAAGGACAGTTTGCTATGCGAAAGCTACTGGTATCAACATAGTTAATGTTTGGATTTAGGTTGTTTCTTATTAATATACAGTCTCAAGGCTGCTAATGTCTTTTTTTTTATATACATGTATATTTTTTGGTTAATGGCATGTTTAACAAAGTGTCAGTGTGTTTTTCAGCTGTATGGTGGAAAGAATCACAAGTTAAGCCCCAAACCACTCACCTGTATGATGTGTTGCCTAATTAACTACCCAACAACAGCCTGTTAGACACATTACTCCATAAAATGCACAGGGCAAAATGATCTGCACATGAAATATGCCCCTAAAGATGACAGGTATTCCATTTCTCTATTTGAACAGGGTTCAAAATAAATAATCAGATTGATATAGTAGTAAGTCTTTTTGTTTCGAGTGAAATAAAAGCAGATGTGTTGCTCTGTTTTTGCTTTGACTTTTTTTTATCAGGAAGTTAATTCTTATTTATCTTTCATTGAAAAAATTCTGAAAGGATCGTTTGACTTCTATTTTACAGCTCCTCTGGCATCCAGATGTTACTCCCATGGCAAGGTGGAGACAGACGAGGAGTTTGATTCTCGTTGGGTCACTTACTTCAGCAAACCTGACATTGACGCCTGGGAGCTTCGGAAAGGTGACTGACGGTTGCTGTTATTAACACTGAATATTCAGTGAATTTTCTCATTATTTAATGAGGATTTCCCAGGGATTCAAACCCAGAAGATTCTCAAAGGTTAAGGCCTTAATACAGAGGAAGATCCACCACCATTCACCCATTAGCCATTAACTGGATGTCATGATAAATATGATTTCCTTGTGTTTTTGATGATCATCTTCTGCTTCGGTTTAAAACCTGGCCTCCTCAGCAGGTGCATGAAAAAAAACAAAGTTATGAGGAAGGCTTGTAGCAGTTTTATTTAAATGTTTGTAGCTACAACTTCTAACTCTTCCTGTTCAGTAGGTGGCGTCCTTACCTTTGCCAGTTCCCTTTGCCAGTTCTATCTATGCTAATGCTAACCTTTGGTTGTTTATTTGGTTAGTGTTAGCAATCATTGATACAATGGCTGAATCCCAAACTATCAAGTGTCACTCCCAATGAAGTCACACTCACAGCTGTGGAAGGCGTCTGGGTTGTATGTGGGGGGTATTAACTAGAATAGGATGACTTCTTCCCAGTGACGGAAAAAGTAAACAGTCATTGCTATGACAACACAGGGACGTCTGTGGCGCATGTTGACATGACGTCAAATATTTGCCCCTTTCTTAAAAACAAAGAAAATATCAAGTTAGGGCTGTGCATAAAACTCAATACAAAAATTAATATCTATGTTTTTAAAAGCGATTTAATATCCGTATTCTGGCTTTCAGTATTGACACCTCCCAACCACTAGGTGGAGTTATTACAACGTGCCGTTACTGTTCACAGGCTCATTTTGACTTTAAAGCCAATGAAGGAGCCTAGAACTTGACAAAACAAATGCATGCACTCCAATGGTGCCGTACGCTTTACTGGAAAGATGACCAACTTGCCGGCTCCCCTACAGAGGCACCATGCTGGTAAGCTAGCAGCACCAAAAATATAAAAGAAACTTGCAGACCCAAAGCAAATAACTCTGGACAACATCACGTATAAGATTCCATCTGTCTCACCCCATGCCATCAAGATCAGACTTGCTTTATGTTTGTTTTATCTGCCTGGATTTCAATCTTACTGCGTGGTTGAAAATAGAGGTTTTCGCTAAATGGTAAATACACTGGAGCCCCGTTGCATTATCCCAACCTATCACTTTATTACTGAAGTAGCGGTACACAAGAAATATAAAGAAGTCAAAGCACTTGTCAAAACATGGCCAGGTTCAGCTTCAAAAGTTGCCCTTTCATGCACTGGGTGGGTGTATTTAATTGTGTCATAAGCTATGTATAGAGAATCATATCGAATTGGCTCACCCTACGTGTTACCCAGCCCTATATCCTGTCTATTAAAACTATTACAAAGATGACATTCCCTTTAGGGATTAATAACTTTTTTGATTTTTTCCCCCCTATCTTTTGATTGTCACTTCACACCTCTGCATTGTCTGTGATATCACACAGCTGATTTCTATGGCTGCCAGAATGTCCACTCTAATCGCTGTATAGCGATTACGCAATTTTAGATCAGTGTCTGAATGTCTAGTGGATGAAAAAGTAATGGACTCAAAATTTCCTACAATGCACCTTAAAATATAAGGCGTTGCTCAATTCACGAGAACGCGAGTACGTACTCGCGTTCTCGTCAAGTCCGTTCTTGGCGAGAACGCAGGAAGATCGGACTTGATGAGAACGCGAGCACGCAAGCACGTATGTGTATTGGAGCAGAAGCGTACTCGTGACGTCATCACATGCAACGTTCTTTAGCATTTCTTTAACAGTCAAAACTATTTATTCCCTACACAAAGCATTTTGAAAACAATATTTTTAATTTCTAAAGCTTAAAAAACATTTAAAAAAATTACCGAACCGCAAAAAACCGCCATCAGAACGAGCGGTAGTTCACACATAACTAGACCGAGAGAAGTGCACTACAGACGGGGTAAATTTAGCCCTGGCTGCGGTTACCCTCGGAGGTCTGCTGGTCACTCTGGTCCGCTCAACATCGGACTTTTTTTTAAAATTTCGCACTAACTCTGTAAACAGACCACACAGGGAGGCTTAAATGTATAATGTTATCGCCTCAAACGATTTCAAAACGTACTTTTGAAGAACAACAGCAGCAGAAAAGGGAATGTTTAACTTACCACTGTGAGCGCTGTCTGGAATCAAGCTGCGGCCGCGGGGCATTCTGGGGAAGCGGTCAGTCTGAAGAACGCACAAGTCTGCTCTGATGCATGCTCGATAAAGAGGGCGGGGTGAGAACAACATCCGGGGATTTGGTGCGTTCTCGATCTGGCGTTCTCGAGAATTGGAACGGTACTCTGGCTGAGGCTGATGACGTGTCACGAGTACACGAGAACGCTCAAGAACGCATATTGAGAAACGCCCATGGTGATCATCCACGCTCACTAGACAAGCAGCTATTTCCCAGAATGCTTTGCGAGGAGAGCTCTCCTCACAAAGCATCATGGGATGTACAGGTGCTGGTCATAAAATTAGAATATCATGAAAAAGTAGATTGATTTCAGTAATTCCATTTAAAAAGTGAAACTTGTATATTATATTCATACATTACATACAAACTCATATATTTCAGATGTTTATTTTGTTTAATTTTGATGATTACAAATGACAACAAATGAAAATCCCAAATTCATCATATCAGAAAATTAGAATATTACTGAAGACCAATAAAAACAAAGGATTTATAGAAATGTTGGCCAACTGAAAAGTATGAACATGAAAAGTATGAGCATGTACAGCACTCAGTATTTAGTTGGGCCTCCTTTGGCCTGTATTACTGCAGCAATGCGGCGTGGCATGGAGTCGATCAGTCTGTGGCACTGCTCAGGTGTTATGATAGCCCAGGTTGCTCTAATAGTGGCTTTTAGCTCTTCTGAATTGTTGGGTCTGGTGTATTGCATCTTCTTCTTCACAATACCCCATAGATTTTCTATGGGGTTAAGGTCAGGAGAGTTTGCTGGCCAATTAAGAACAGGGATACCATGGTCCTTCAACCAGGTACTGGTAGCTTTGGCACTGTGTGCAGGTGCCAAGTCCTGTTGGAAAATGAAATCTGCATCTCCAAAAAGTTGGTCAGCTGCAGGAAGCATGAAGTGCTCTAAAACTTCCTGGTATGTGGCTGCGTTGACCCTGGACCTCAGAAAACACAATGGACCAACACCAGCAGATGACATGGCACCCCAAACCATCACTGACTGTGGAAACTTTACACTGGACTTCAAGCAACGTGGATGAAGTGCCTCTCTTCTTTTCCTCCAGACTCTGGGACCTTGATTTCCAAAGGAAATGCAAAATTTACTTTCATCAGAGAACATGACTTTGGACCACTCACCAGCAGTCCAGTCCTGTTTCTCTTTAGCCCAGGCAAGACGCTTCTGACGCTGTCTGTGGTTCAAGAGTGGCTTGACACAAGGAATGCGACAGCAGAAACCCATGTCTTTCATACGTCTGTGTGTGGTGGTTCTTGAAGCACTCACTCCAGCTGCAGTCCACTCTTTGTGAATCTCCCCCACATTTTTGAATGGGTTTTGTTTCACAATCCTCTCCAGGGTGCGGTTATCTCTCTTGCTTGTACACTTTTTTCGACCACATCTTTTCCTTCCCTTCGCCGCTCTATTAATGTGCTTGGACACTGAGCTCTGTGAACAGCCAGCCTCTTTAGCGATGACCTTTTGTGTCTTGCCCTCCTTGTGCAAGGTGTCGATGGTCGTCTTTTGGACAACTGTCAAGTCAGCAGTCTTCCCCATGATTGTGTAGCCTATAGAACTAGACTGAAAGACCATTTAAAGGCTTTTGCAGGTGGTTTGAGTTAATTAGCTGATTAGAGTGTGGCACCAGGGGCCATCAATTTTGAACCTTTTCACAATATTCTAATTTTCTGATATGATGAATTTGAGATTTTCATTTGTTGTCATTTGTAATCATCAAAATTAAACAAAATAAACATCTGAAATATATGAGTTTGTATGTAATGTATGAATATAATATACAAGTTTCACTTTTTAAATGGAATTACTGAAATCAATCTACTTTTTCATGATATTCTAATTTTATGACCAGCACCTGTATTGTCACAGTGGCCCACTTTCCCCATAGGCTGCTGCTACCTGACAGTGCTGACAAATAACAAAGATGGCACAGGCACCGTGCGAGGGAGGTGGAGTCATGTGACCAACAGGGAGCGAAAAGTAGTGATCATCTATCCGAACAGTCGGTTAACTGAGTTCACTATAAGGTCCACTATATAGTCCCCGCTCTATATAGTGGTTGAGGGATATAGGGGTTATGGCGGACATTTAGACACAGCCTATCTATGCATCTCATTCAGCTGATTGCCCTGAACTAGGCCAAGCCGTTACCATGGCAATCAGCCGCTGTGCGTTCCAGAGGACACGCCTCCTGTGTTTCATTGCAGAGATATATGGTGTTTTTTCATTACTTTTGAGGTCCTATATTTACATTCTTAGCAGTTTGTCAATCAGTCAAATTTGTTTGAGCGGTTCATGGGATATATTTCTATATTTGGAGAAACACAGAACCCCTCTTAATATGGACATAAAAGAGTTTGTTACAAGCTAAAGACCTATTGAAAGTTGGCTTTTATTTTAATGAATGAAAAGCAACTGTAGACTTTTCTGAACCCTAACATTTTTTTTTTGTTCCTAATTTCACACAAAAAGTTACCCAATAATTAAACCCTGGTTCACTTCTCATTAGAAAAAGGAGTTTAATTACTAATCCTCAGATTTTCAGTGATTCTGGTCTAAATCATCCATGTAACCCTGGCAGAAATGTCTTTGACATCAAATCAGACTGTTGATTCAGAATTATTTTACTGTCTACTAAATAACAAGGCTTTCCGTCCGTTATTTTGCTTTATAGGCATGAACACTTTAATCGGATATGACCTGGTCCCAGAACCCAAGATCCTGGATTCAGCGCTAAGAGCCTGTCGAAGGCTGAACGATCTCGCCAGTGCCATTCGCATCCTTGAAGCTGTCAAGGTGAGTCCAACCCCCCTGCCTCCGTCAGGAACTGTTCTTTCAGCACTACCAAACTGAAACTGCCAGTGAGACAAGAAAAAGACAATGTTCCAGCATGTAGATAATAAAAGTTAACATTTTAACAGGGAAATAAACAATTGTTTTCCTCTATTTGAAGGATAAAGCAGGTCCCCACAAAGACATCTACCCCTACGTTATCCAAGAGCTGAAGCCCACCCTCACAGAACTTGGCATTTCAACACCAGAGGAGCTTGGAATTGACAAGTTATAGACAAGAAGGGTGAGAAGAGGCAGTGTTGACTCGCAGCCATGTTTCTTTTTTGACTGAAAAACTTTAAAACGTCTTTCTTTTCTTCTCAGGCCATTTTTCACATCGAGACGATTCTCCTGATTACCTCCCATTGGAAATGTCTATATTATTGATCCAATACATGCTGTCCTGTTGTGTACAAAATAATGGAAATAATAAAGAACCTAATTAGCAAAACCTGTTCTTAATTCATCATTATCACGCTTCACAGGACGGCGACATGCCACAAACAATTTCTGCTGAAAAGGGTTTATGTTTAGAGTTCTGCATCAGAATGTTAAAGAAGAGTGGAGTGGAAGGAAAAAGTATTAGATAAAGGTGCAAAAATGATAGTGAATATTTAGGGAAAGGATGTAGGAAGAATCACAGAACGTCCACAGCGGTTAACCCCAACTCTCACCAGCTATGACATGGGATCCGATCTAATGAAATAATTGGATTGTATGACGCAGCAATTACATCTGGTTAAAGCAAATGGACTGCATAGTTCCAACCAAAGTAGAACCCGGGTTTATCTTTGTCAGACGGGAAGAGGGACACATGGGCAAACTAAAACTTGTACAGTTTAAAGAGAACCTGAATTAAATAATCAGAATCTTAAACTTTGCAGCTTCTGGAAGCGTTTATTTCTACAAATATTTTTTTTTCTTAATCGCATTTAACCTAGACAACGGATCAAGTTATACGGCGAATGTGGCTTTTGTTCCAGCAGCGACCACAGCTTCAGGTTCCCTAGAAAAAAGTCGGATCAGACACAAGTTCAAGTTTGGCTTCATGTAGCTTATTCCTTATGTTTGAGCCACTACTAGGAAAGTAAATACAGAGAGTTGACTGTTGCTGTCTTTTCCTTTATAATGATGAAAATAAATGTATTTGGGGGAAAAAGCTCAGAAAGTGGAAAGGCACAGAATCCAAGTTACATTATGTTGAGCTGGATGTCTGAAGTCTTCAGGTTACAGCAATTTCTAGAGCACATGATGCACCCATCTGCTGACTAGCTTTGTGGATATTTTTAGTGACTATTTGTACAAAAGTAATAAAAAAAACTTAATATCAAAGCAAAAAGGTGATTTCAACTCGAATAGCCACCTGATGCACCATGGATTCTGGCTTACGCAGTACAAAAAAGGTCAAAATCCACTTCTTTGCTTGCTTTATTCTACGTACAGACAAACAGGTTAAACCTAGCGTACACAGTTTCCTCACTCTGTTTCATACACCTGTTCTTTGAATGACTGACTGATTGAATGAGACTTACTGAAAACTGGTAAAAGAAAAAAAAAATATGACCATTCACGTCAAAAATAATTAACGTAATTAATAGCGTAACTTTTTTTTTTCTTAAGACCTACCTATTTATACTGTTAAACACCCACATCCTAAGTTAAAATTCATTAACTAAGTGAATCACTAAACAAGTCCTACTATAAATAACAAATCAAACAAAATAATCCAAATTCTAAGATTTTACTAAAAATGGAGAAAAATCTCCTACAATATTATTGGTCTGGATTGATCAACTTTCCTACAGTCTTATGTCTGTTAGGTACTGTCAATAAAATATCCACATACTTGGTGAAAACCTGAGAACCTGGATTTTCTTTACCTTAATCAGAATCTTAGGCTTAGAGATTTAGGCTGGTTGCCTCCATTCTATCACTAAATTAAATCCTTTAAATATCTTTGCAAATTGAATTAATTTGCATCTCTTTAAAGACACAATATAGACACAAAAAGTTAACTGATTTTAAAATATAATTTCAGTTTATTATGGGAAAAAGTCGGAATTCCGACTTTAATCTTAGAATTCTGACTCTTTTCTCAGAATTCTGACTTTAATCTCAGAAATTTGGATGTTAATGTAGATGGGAATCATGAAGGAAGAGACGTCGGAGCACTCAGCATCACTGACAAAGATCTGAGTTATTTTGGGGGGCCCAGTGACAAATTGGTGGAATATTATGGACTTAGGAGACTTTTTACGTGTCAGAGGGGCCCCCAGTGATGCTATTTCATTAAAGAAGGAGCAGAAGGTGATTAAAACAAGAGAGATTGTTTAGTCTCTAAAAGAGACATGGCTGCGGTTTCAGATTTCTGAGATTAAAGTCAGAAATCTGATTTTTTTTCCCCCTCATATTATCCCAAAATTAAATTTCAAAATCAGTTAACTCTTTAATTTTTTCAGTGGTCCTAATCCTCTTCCGTACTTATTTATGGGCACAAATGTTATTTTATTTGATTATTATTATTTTTTTATTTCGGCCACTAGGGGGCGACATACTGCTTCACATCAGGGTAGAGAGACCACAATAAACAGGAGAATCAGTCTAGCGTAATCCCATAGTTCTGGTAATAAAAGACGGCACCTTTGGTTACAGTTGGGTTACAAATAGGTGTTAGCTATTTTGTTGAGTTTTTTTTTTTTTACGCTTCCCCCCTGTATCTGCTTCACTTGTAATGAATCACAACCCCTGGAAGTAGAGACCCCCTGCTAACCAGCCCTAACTAACCATGTTAGCCTAGCAGGCTAACAGGAGTGTGAGTAGCAGGTTCCTCTGCTCTGGGACTACTATCATGGCTGTGCTGTGGGAGAAGTTGTGACAACAATCAAAGCGAAGATGATGAACGACATAATAGAAGAACCCGAAAAGGACACGCTCCTGGAGGCGCAGCAGGAACAGCTAGTTTTGTCGGTAATGTCAGCTAAAGCTAGTCTGACGATAAGAAAAGAGAAACTGGGAGGCTCGCTAGCTAGGCTAGCATTTACATATTTTGACAGTTGTTTACGTGAGACGTATTTTAAAGAAAGCCTTCTGACTTATGTATATGAACGTAACGTCAGGCTGTTTAGTAACATATAAAAAACGTGTTTTGAAGCACTTATTTCGCTTTAACGATTATTATTGGAGCCTCAGCGAAAAAACAAAACAAAAACAGTAACCGTAAAAATAGACATGATGATGTTTATAAGTAAACCCCGAAAGTACCAGCTTGGCTGCTCATTAAATATAACTTAAGAAATACGTTGATTTGCTATATGTTTTTGGAAAGCCTCTTTGGAAAGTTGGAACTTCTCCATTTCCTTTTTGGCTACAAACCATTAAGTATTTAAACAGAATGACTAATAAAAAAGCTCAAAAACAAGATGAATGTCATGGAGTTTAAATAGAAGCCTTACAGTAGGGTGTGTATTTGTATTTATTCCTCATAAATATCTTCTTTTCTGACACTTTAGGGGATGTCTTTCAGCTTTGTGTGGAAAAGTGTGTCCATTCTGTCCTGCAAAATTGTATATTTACTCAAGCTTATTTAGATTCACTGGAAAGTTTGAAAATCAATTCTTAAGTCTAGCCACCATCTCAGTAGGATTCAGATGTGGACCATGATTCTGACACATGGACATACTTTGATCCATCTGCTGTACGCTCAGGGATGTTGTTTTGTTGGAAGTTGAACCTCTACCCCAGCATCAAGACCTCTGCAGCATCAATTTTTTTCTTCTTGGATTTTTCGTATTTTGGGATCATTTAAATTATAACCTTCTTAATGAAAGCATGATACTGCCAACACTCCCCCCAGTTTTGATTGCATGTTTTTAGTGGTACTTTTTTGCTCCACATATAGATTTTTTTTAAACCATAGAAAACAACAATGGTCTCATGTAACCAGAGAAAATTCTTCCATATTCCATAAAGGCCATATTTTTAGATCTCTGCAGCTGCTTGAGAGATTCTGATTTTAGATGATCTTTCATGTCTTGATGGGGTTTTAGGGATGTGGTGACGTCCAAAAGCTGTTGGTAACAGAGGAATTGACCTTAATAAAAGGGGCTTACATAAAATGTAAACATATATTGTTTATAAGATTTAAAAAAAAAAGTAAATACATTTGAGTTTTTTGGTTATGTAGCAAAAAATAATTATCATAATAATAATCATTTGTGAAATTTCAGGGACCCAGTAACGGCGCAAGACCTAAGATTCCAGATGGAGGCATTCGGCTGGTGGAGAAGAGAGGACCTTACATCATGTCCAGAGCGCCGGCCATCCACCTCAAACTACGTGAGCATTTCTACTAATGAAGGGAGAGGAAATGTAAAAGTTGCATCTAGAAACCTTCAGTCTGTTTTTATGAATATTAATGTTGGCTGAATGGTTGTTAGATAAGTAACTAGCTTTTTATAAAGTTAAGGGTTTAATTTATCCAATGATTTAGAGTGCTTTAATAGTAGCTTTGAAGAGTCAGTGAGGTTAAAGAGTTCAAAAAGTTCAAAACATTGCATAGATTGAGAGGTTTACATCCACATATATGGAGTGAACTTTGTTCCGTTATTGTTTTAAGCAAAGAGCACGTTTTGTAAATTGAAATTTTGAAGAAAAGAAAATTGCTATCCAGGAATAAGACTTTTAACATTTTTTCCAGAAAAGGTTTTGAGAGTATTCTTTGCTTTTTTGTTAGATTTTTTTTTTTTGTTTTCTCTAATTATTTTTTGTTTGGTTTTTGTTTTGTAAAATAAAGTATTTGACCAGGTTTTTAATTTCTATTTTTATTTTATTTTTGTTTTTCAGCCTGAGTTTTATTAATTGCATTTGTACTGGTTAAGAGGGAGCATTTTTATTGGGCTTAAAGGGGAAAGATTTGATCTGTCAAAGAAAATATTAAACAAAAAATGCAATTGGTAAAAACTAAATCTGAAAGATTAATAAAAAAAAAAAACAAGAATAAAATTATAAAATCTTTAAAAACACAACAAAAAAATTTTTCATTTTACAATACAAAAAAAAAACAAAACAAAAAAAAACACAAACCCCCAACATTTAAGTAAAATTTTGACATTTCCTTCTGATTAAAACTTCTCCAAGTTTCATTTCAGGATTATTTTTTTTTACTTTTCTTGGAACAATAATGTAACAAATTTCTCTCCATAAAGAAAAGTCTTTGTAGTCACATGAGTTTGACCAAACAATGTGATTTTCCACCCATTTAGACCAGGAGCATGTGCTTTCCTCTATTTAATCACAAAATGTCCATGAAAGCAGTAAAAGGGATTACAAATACACAAACCTATCCACATGAAACAATTTATGGAGGATCTAATGTTCATTTGTGCTAGAAAAACAGCAATGATCTAGTGTTGTCCATCTCTCTCTCAGCCTGATGTTTTCTGTATGTAGTCT